AACAGTGAAAACAAGTAATCTCCTTAACCGCTAAGGTCCGTCAGAACTTTCTTGTGCGTCTTTTCTTGTGACGTGTCTTGCAGGTCAAGTAACTTTTGTTTTTTATCTTGGGCAAGTAGGAATGTGTGTGTGTATGTATAAGTGTATATATAGAAAATATATATTCACCTACATAATACAGACGTTAGCATAAAGGAAGTAACTGCGTCGTCTTATGTTTGCCTGCTTTGTTGGGAGAGTGTTCAGAAATAGAAGAAGCCATATATAAATGTATTGTTAACAATGTTAACACTATTCTAATGAGTAGTTGATGAGCTTCTTTCTTTGGTTTAGCTGATTAAGGGCTGCTTTTAGGGCAACCCTTAAACTTGTATTTAAACTGTCCCCGTGTAACTATATGGGGTTAGTGATGAAGGTATATTGAAAATTGAACTTTTCTTCTCTTTTTCAGTCAGGATGAGAGGAAAAAACGTACATTCAGAGACTATACTAGTCAGAAGATCACTCTTGAAGCTGTCTTGAACACTGTATGCAAGAAATGTGGTTGCAAAGGTATATTTATGTAGGGCTGTTTTGTTCTTTCAATGTAACCTTTGTTCTAGCTAGATTGTGACCTGTAGATATGTGTAGTGATGTCTGCCTTGTGATTGTGCCTCGCTGTATAGGGATTGGATTTTGCTTCCAAATGTCTTTTAAAGGACAACCACATTTTCCAGCACTTTCGTTTTGTAAAGGAAAGACTTAATTGAGCTCCTTCTGTTAAGATTTGTTTCTTAAAATCACATCCGTTTGAACTTTCTCTAAGGAACCATTCTACTGAGCACAGTTCTTCTCTTTGTGTGTCTGTTTGGATGCATCTTACAGCTGAGCTCTTATTCCAGTTTTCCATTTTAAGACGTAACCATCAGCCTCAAGTAAATCTGTTAATTATGGCAAGAGAGGTCAATGGAAATAACTGGTTAGCAGTTAGGAACGCTGTTAGTGTGCGAGCAGCTTCCTTAGAGTTGAAAACAAGCGTTTCTACCTGGTGAGATACTTATTTTGCCTAGCATAGAAATGGAAAGTTGGCTTAACTGATGCCTTTTTTAGTAGCTTTTGCTGACTAGCTGCAAGTTGTTCAGGTGTAAGTCAGTAAAGTTTTTAGGATGTGGAATTTTTACTGCATATTACTTATTGTCCTATGTTATTTGGCCACAGAGTAGTGGTTTTGTTGGAGTTTATACTATTCTGGAGAAGGTTAACGACGACAGTTTTAAAAGCAGCTGTTCTAATCACTGATAAGGTTCTCTGTAGTGGTGGATAACTACCTTTTAAAATGCTATTTTAAAGAAACCCCAGAACTTTAAACTAGATTCTAGGTATTTGCAGTCTACTTTTTAATGATAATGTCTACTCATAATAGCCAGGCAGATGCTATCAACGTGCAATTTCCACTACAACTGTTAATAGATCAACTTTGATGTCTGCAGCGTAGAACCAGATTGAGCTGGTTTTCCCATGTGTTTGTGGCTTTGGTCTCATTTACCAGATGTCTACCACACCAATTGACCGACTTTCTCATACGCTTTTTTACGCCGCTTAAGTTGTTGCCTAGACATGTCTCTACTAATGTCTCTGTTCAGACAAGAGTGTCTTAGTTTTGCCTGATTAATCTTTCCGGAATGACTTGTGTTGCACTTGCTCCCCTGGCTTGTTTAATCTGAGCATGTAAAACTAGTTGGAATGCTGAGTGGCGGGGGGAAGCGCAGTGTAGATTCTCATAGTGTGACTAATAATAAAAAGGTTGTCATCAGCATTTTAGGTAGCTGAAATGCAGTTTTCAAAAAAGGTCTGGGTTACTACTTCAAAAACTGTTTTGCAGGTCATTTTGCCAAGGAGTGTTTCATGCAGCCTGGAGGTACCAAATATAGCCTGATTCCAGAGGAGGAGGAAGAAGAGGCAGCAACATATGAAAAAGATAAAAAGACCAGTCTGGCTGATGATTCTTCAAAAAAAAGAAAAAAGGTACAAGGTGCACTTCTGCTGGCTCGAATAGTGGGCCACACAATTTATTCTGTAGATTTACATCTGTGTTTTTCTACAGCAAGGTTGGTATAAGTGGCTGTATTCTGAGAAAGAAAGTGGCTCTGTTTGTGCAGGTTCTGTAGCAAAAGAGAAATCTCTTCTGCAGACTTTTTAGCAGTTCCTACTTACCACTTTTAGGTGCAGTGTGGTGCTGTTTGTTTGTTTTTTAAACTATCTCTAGGGTGGTTTTGTACCATAATACACAGCCCTTCCAGGCCCTACAGTGCAAAAAAGGGATTTTTTTTTTTTTCCTGGCCTTTGTGAGGCTCTAGTTAAATTACTTAGATTTTCTGCCTTTCTGTGACCTTTGCCAATAGCTGTGTCCCCTCTTATTTCACTGCTGTTGTCCAGTCACGTTTCTTTAATCTGAACTAAATGCCCGCTGCTACCTTGATGTAGCAGGTATCCCAGCCCAGCCTATGTACTGTGAACTAGGCTTGTCTGCAAATGCCAGGGTAAAATCATAGGTTGTGTTTGCATAAGGAGCTTATAGCATGTCTAGGCTCTGAAGTAGTTTTGTCCACCTAAAAGGTCTCTTATCTCTTGACATTTTTGTGTCCAGTGTTTGAACTCTGGCTTCAGAGCATGCTGGGACAACACAATGGGTATAAAAAATAGGTGGGACTTGAATCCAAAACAGGAGTGTGTAGTGGTCAAGTCTATTCATGCAGAAATGAGTCTTCCAATTCCAGAGTTAAGTAAATAAAGTGTTCCATCAACTCCTTCACTGCTTGCGTCCAATTTGCTATTACACTTCCAAAGCGCCCTTCCCGTCCCTGGAGAGTGGCAACAGGCTGGGAACATGGTGGGATTTCCAACGTCTAGAAGCACGGCAGGCTGAAGAGGGAAAACTCTGGCAGAGGTAGTGAGGAGTGGTCTGGCCATAGTTTTGTTTCCTTGTTGCAGGAGAGGCACAGCAACAAGCATTACCATTTGCATGGTGAGAAGTGACTTCTGAGGGCTTAGTTCTCACTGGATCGGTGGGGGGCTGTGTGAGTGCTAGCACTAGTAGAAGAGAGTGCAAATACTGGCTACAGGGAAAGGACAAATCTATCTGTTTCAATGGCAACCTGCACTTAAATCAACCCAGAGTGACACTGGGAACCAAAGTCTCACTTCCAGTTGTGTTTTTCATTAGTCAGGTGGTTTTTGGAGCTTTGGTACGCTCTTATCTGAAGAGGTGCTTTTTGGGTAGGTGTAGGTGGTGGCTGCACCAGAGCAGAAAAGTCAAGTCTGTGGTGACTTTCCTTGTATTTGCCTCTGCCCTGTGGCATACCTGTTTCTGCCCGAGAGTTGGTACGAAATTACGGTAGCTTTAATTTGATTCCTACCCTGCAGTTTTCATTTGTCCAGTAGAGCTCAGGATAGTAGTAGTGGGAACTTGATCTGTCTGACTGTAGGTTCTGGTGCCTGGTTCCACCCTGAGAGGTGTGTTCTGGTTCTCTGATGTACAGGCTCTTATCCGAGGAATGTCTTGCACTTGTATGGCAACATAAGAGCAATGTTCTGCAGACAAAATACACATACTCTTCTTTTTATTCTGATCTCAGAAGCACGCAACTGAACCAAGTCATCCCTTGGGTCCCAGGCTAACTGCGACTCGTGTCTTTCTGGACTTAAAACATCAAGCTTCTGTCATATTGTGGAATAGTGTGAGACCAGGCTGTTGGTAATACCTCAGCAGACTTGAGTTCTCTTGCCTTTGGTTGTCTTCCCTCTAGGAGTGATGATGGCTTATCTGGTAAAGGTTCACTTTGCTTTACAGTGGAAGTAACTGTTACTTAAATGCTATTGGGAAGAATTCTGTTAAGAGCTGTGCAAGTACTCCTTTATCTTACCAATGCCTGTCCAGTGAGGCTGGGGATTCCCTGTGGAGCCTTGCCCTGCTGAAACTACAGGATATATGTGGGTCACTGTCCTGAATTTGTTACTATTTTTTTCATCTGTGGATTAACAGCCTTCCTTTAAATGTTGCTTGTTCCTTTGATCTCCTCCCTTCTCAGGAGGAGATCAAAGGTTTTCAGATGTTTTGCAGTGCTGGAAAATAAAACTTTGAGATTTTTGGAGACAGGATGTGGGATCCTCGAAGTGAATAGCTTCCTTGTTGTCTCGGGTGCCTGCTGTGATCTTGTCTGGGAGCCACCATGTGCTTCCCTGCCTGCCTGCCTGGAGCCCCGGGGAGATTTGCACAAAATCGAAATAGCTCAGTCTACCTAGTAACAATTGCTTTGCTGACCAAGTCCTATGCGGTGTTTGCAGTGTAAAAGTAGAGCTTGCAGTTTTTAAATGAAAACATGGCAGTTTCCTATCTACCAAGCATCCATTTAATGACATAGCAGTAGTACCAGCCTTCCTGGCTGTTCGTTATCAATGTTTTCTTTCCTTGATCTGGTGTTTTGTTGCAGTCCTTTGGTACTCTCCCCAGAGGCTCCTCTCCTTACAGAGATACTCTGGGGTCCTCACCCCCTATCTTCTCTGCTCACCTTTCCCATGGTCACCATGATCAGTAGTTTATGCCCAGAGTCTCTATAAGGCTGGCAGTGAGCTTCCTAGAGCTCCTTCCTGGTTTGCTGCTCTTATCGCAAGTTGTAATACTCGTAGAAATGTGGTCCTGTTATTGACTTCAGATCTGCAGATGGTTTTTAGACCACTTGAATGTTGTCCATGCCATGACCGAGACAGAACTGAGAATCTCGGTGTTTTCACTTTTCTCCGGCCTGAGCCCTGCAGCATCTACTGGAGAAAAGACGGCTGAAGACTTCAGCTCTCTGTACTTGCCTGGTCTTCTGGTGTGACCTTGGGCGCACGTTTTCCTGGTTACAGATCACCATCTTAGTATTCTGCACGTGAGAGCACTGCCCTGTCTCCTGTAGGCCCTGAGAAAATAAATAACTTGGAGACGCTCAGATGCTGCTGTCAGAGTTATGCGGAAGTACCAGAGAGCATCTAAAGAGTCTCTGACAGCTGCTCAAGCATGTTACTGCATCCCTTTCACTTTTATTCTTTTTGGGTCACAGGGTGAAGGAACTCCTATGGGAACACTGCAGTGTGTCTGTACTGAGCTTGTGTAGGAGGGAGGCATGCTGAGAAAAAATAAACCCTACTGATTCTTCTCCCCGTCTGTCTTTCAAGAAAAGGTCTGCTGTTCTCAACACCAGGAGTAACCCCCTTTCGTTTGCATTCTACACAGCTGTCCTGTCTTCTGCTCAGATGCATTGATTAATTTATCCCTGGTGTAATTTTGTGAAGGTCGTTGGAGCTACATGATAAATGTGACCTGCAGTTGCTTTTCTACTGACTTTGCCACTGTTTCCCTCGCCGTGTGAAAGACTTCCTTGAAGTCCTTCTGCAGATGTCTCCTCACTTAAAACCACACCTTCTTAAATCGTTGTCTGTTCAGTGACCTGTACTTCATCAAGCCTTAATCCATTCTAGTTCCTAGCCTAGTACTTGTTTTACTAGTTGTTAAATAGCATTAGCTTAAGGCATAGCTTAGTTAGGTTCACTCTCTTCACGCGTCTGCTGTTCTCTTATTGTCCTTTTCTCTGCTTTTCTAAACTTTGCTGTATTTGCATTACTGGCCATGTGCTGGATTCTTCTCATCAGATTAATTCTGACTAGATCTTAAAGAAGGGATGGAATCATATTCTTGGCTTTGCATGATGAATCTTGTTTGGAATTAGGCTGGCATGGTGAAAGTTCCCTTTATTTTAAGAATAATAACCTAGAAGGAATACTGACACGTTTTTGGGAAGAAGTCCTGGAAATCCATTGTAATTATTCATAAGGGCAGGCAAATTCTCAGAATGAGAACCCACAGAGGGTTTGGTGAAAGAATATTTAAACTTTTTGGAGAGTTGGGGACACTCCCCTTTTGTCTCAAAATCAAATACCTTTAGAAGGAACGAACGGTCGTAACATTCTTAAACATAGCCCCAAGCAACTCCTCTTATGAAGAGCAAGAAACAAAACCTGGTGTGCTAGTATGGCTGACTCTTAGTACGAGCCTTTTCAAAATAGCTACAGTAATATGAAAGCCAGCTCTTTCAGGCTCTAGCTCAGACTGTTGCTCTTCTGCATGCTACTTCCCAACGCAAGTCTTGTATAGTAGATTTCAAGGCAAGTTGGTTCGATTTTCTAGAATTGTTGCATAAGTTGGACAAGAGGTACAAAGAACCGTAACATCCAAGCCTCCGTACTTGCTGGCTCTCTCTGAGCACCTTTACATTTGGAGTCTGTTTGGACAAAAATCGTAATATGGACACAAGCGCAGTGTTTACGATACTGAGCAAATGCCTGGGTGCGGCAGCGAACAGAGCTGAGCTTCATCCATCATCAGGGATCAATTCTGGAGACCAATTTGTGGCTAGGGTGCGGCAAGGCTTTGCTGCTGTAGCTGAGGGCAAAAATTGGGCCTTTACTTTGGCACGGTTGTCTCTAGTGCGTAAACCAGAGGAACACTCCCCTCTTGCACAATGATGGTAGCTCTCGGATCAGTTCAGTGTGGTTAGTAATCAGTAGGGCACAGGAAGGCAGTTTAGTTCTTATCATTCAGTACCAGGATGCTGGATTTTAAAGGAATTGACGGTCTAATAGGAAGATATTACTTGTACAGAAGGGTTTCAGAGCACCACTGTCTCATGCTACAGAAAATGCAGAAATCTTCTGCAACTGCTTTACTCCCTGCAGTGTTTGCAGTCTAGACTGTTCTCTAATGTCCAGTGTTGCCCAGTTGTGTGCTTCTGCTGTGGTGTTTGCATAAACAGTCTGGGAGTACTTGCTCTGTGTTGGTCTGAATGGCTTGGCTGTTAAAATAGGACTGTCCTAAAAAGGAGACTGTGATTTTTAGCCAGCACAAAGTCCACATGTGTACTTTTATTTCCCCTGTCACGCAGAAGGGACTGATGTGACATCCTGTCTTGTCCTTAGCCTTCACACGCTGAGAAGTTTCCCAAGCTCTGGAATGAAACTCTGTTACAAGGGCTTGTCAAACTTTCTCACCATGTGCACAGATCAGAAAAGCTTGAGAAAATTCTCCTTGCCGCATCCCTTTAGATAAAAGGTTTAACTCTTTACCATCATCATCTTCTGAAAACTATTGTAACTTGGTTCTACCCTTAATATGTGGATAAGGGATTTTGTGATGACTTGAGTGTTGTCTCACAGAAAAATCTAGACTTTGGCAAATTTTCAATGACGTCGGTTATCATAGCGCCGTTATGGAGCTGCAACAAACGATACCTGCCGAAGATCTGCTAGGTATATAGTAAGCTAAATCCTCCCCGCTCTCCCCTGAAGTCCTGGAGGATTCTTTGCTAGACGTGCAGCTCCAAGTCTTCCTTTTTATTTTTGCTATTCCATCTCCCTAAAACAGTTGCTCTGTTTCACATTAAATAAGCTCCTGCTTCCCTTTCTTCTGTGCCCCTAATTGATAGCATGTATCTGGTGCAATGACACACAATCCATACTAAATTGATGTCTTTAGCTGGGCCTCTTGTGTCCTTACTGTGACAGGAGAGTGTGTCTTTTTAATTGAAATTCTATGGACTCGGCTTGTCTTCCCATAAGCCAGTATATTAATCTTCATATAGAAGCTGAACTTGTCCTGACAGTAGCTGAAGCTAATGGAAGAAATGTCTCATGGGGAAGAGCTAGGAGAACCCAGCCTTCTCTTTGTGAATGTCTATATCCTTGCTGTAGCTTTGCTCACAATAACCCCAGCTAATTCTAGCTTAGCTCAAGAGTCTCGCAAAGCCATATCTGAATTCCTGTGCCCTCATGCTCTGTTTTTCTCCATGCGTATGCAGAAGTTATTTTGTTCTCTCAGCACTGAAGCACTCCTTTTTCCAAAGCAATTTTGTGAGAATTTGCCTTTCAGGGGAAGCTTAAGGGAGGCATTGGAGGGTTATCAGCAGCTTAGTGAAATACCCTGTGCCCTCCCTAAATTAGAGCATGGATTTTACTTTAATGTTCTCGCCTGTCTTGGTGAGCTACTTGAGCTTGGTGAGCTAAAAGCACCTTCAGGCTTAGAGCAAACAAGGCAGAGTCAGGGTGTAAAGTGGATTATTGCAGGGGATGTTTCCCTCTTTGCCTTATTTTTCATACTGTGTTCAGTAACTACTTCTGACTTTCCTTGCTTACAGAAGAGTGCTAGTTTCTTAGCTTGCCGTCCAGTGGGTGAATACGCGTGTGTTGCCTTTCTTGTGCTTGCTTGTGTGAAGTGAGTTTTCTTTATGTGGATGTTTTCCAACCACTTACTAGCCAGGGTTGTGTTTTTCTCTTTTTTTTTTTTTTAAATTTTCTTTCTTTTTTTTTTTCTTTACCCTGGGTAGGATGGGTGTGGAGCAAGCCTAGGGCAGCACCTGCAGGCATCCGAGGGAGGCGGAGTGACTCAGCGTGGCCCTCAAAATTGTCACTGCTGGATTCACACCTTGCAGCTCCCGTGCACAGCCCCATGCTGTGCTTGGCTGTGTTGGAACAGGTGGAAATACTTTCCCAAATGAGTCGCTCTCATTTTTGTAGAGGTATCTCTTGTACATCTACTGCTGGTCACTGTTGTTCCCCTTGTCTAATCACGCGTTTATTTCCTCTCCTTGGCTTAGCTGTTCTTCTAGGTTGGCTGTGGACGTGCAGCAGCTGACCAAGGAGGGAGGCCTCCCTGAGGACTCATTTTGTCTGAAGTGCTGTGACTTACACAACTGAGCCTTTGGGCTTCCTTCTGTTTCCTCACAAAATGAGTGCATGGCACTAGGAGACCTGCCGAGACAGGGGTGATTTACAGCAAGGCTGTTCTAGTAAAACTCTGCGAGTCCAAGGATGGCCCTGAGATTGCTGGGGACCCTCTTGGCAAAGATAGTAAGCTGAGCTGTTGGCTTGGGGACTCCAGACTTCTCCCATTACACAGGAGAACATCAATGGTGTTTTATATGACAAACACTGGAAGTGTTAGGTTTGGGAGAGTCATTAGACTGCTTTTCATCTCTGACTGTGATGCTCCCCAAAGCTTTTCCACAGCTGTGCTCTGAGCAAGCCATCTTTCAGCCTGTTCATTGGTGGGAGGAAGTGGGGGGACATGGCTGTTTATTTGGCTCACCAAGGTTCCTTTGCCTGGGCCAGTGACACACTGAAGTGAATGTTCTGGGCTTCTCCTACTCCCTCCCTGCACAGGCTCAGCAAACTCTTTACTGTTGTTGATTGGAGAGCTTACCCCTCCGGAGGTGGTGAACATGGGGGGCAGTGCCCAGCTATGCCAGTGGTCATGGTTTCTTGTTTGCACTCTACTTTGAACCTGTTTTCATGAGTTAGCTTTCATTCCCAGTTATGATACTAGCTGTGCCATCCCAACTGCTGAACTGGGAGGGGGGGGAAGGTTTTTAGAAACCCATGCTTTAGTTCCTCATGTATGAGGAAGGGATTCCTGGGCCCAGGCAGTGCACGAAGAATGCAGCATCTGTTACTGTAGCAGGGTGACATGAGTCTAAATGAAATGCATCCAGTAGAAGATAGTCTGTGAGGAGGGGGAAAGGAGCTGGGCTACAACTGGGGAACAAACCTAATGTAGTACAGTTAACATTACTACATGTATCATTACAACTTAGCTGCGTAGTTAAATTACGGAAGAGAATAGGAGGCTGTTTTGCAGCAAGTTTGAGAAGGATTGTGCCCAGTCTTACAAGTGTACCAATTCTAGAGCAGTTAACATATATATCCTTCAGGAAAGTGTAGCTCGCTTTAAGTAAAAATGCCAATATATGGTTTAGTCAAAGCAGCAAGATTTGCTTGCTGGGTTACATTCCTTGCTGGTAGTGTCTAAGCCTATCGCAGGTGATTGCACTGGCTGGGCTTGTCTTATTGGCCCATCTCCACTTCAGGGGACCGTGTTTTGCTTCTTTCTTATGTCCTCTATGTCCTTGAGCTATAATGAAAATTTATGATATCTACTTGCACAGGAAGGTCTGTTTTTAATGTTGATGCAGCTATGGAAGAAATCTTAAATGTGCTCTACAAAATATTACAATCACTTAGTGTTACTAATCACTTAGCCTACTCATCGGAACGCTGTTTTCACTTACTTTCCAGGATCTTGTGGGTGTTGGAGAACAGCATCTCTCTTTTTTTTTTTTTTTTTTCCAAGAAGTTTTTTTCCCCCCCAAAGTATTTTTAAAATACACCCCCCAAAACCTTATGTCTTGTTCCAAAAGTTGGTTAGTTTGATAATTTTGTGGGTATTTGGGGAACTAGAAAGGTGAGCTGAATGGGCATCAGTCTCATGCTTGCTTATTCTCCACAAAAGCAGGCCAAGCCAGCTGGTGCCTTCTGATCCACTTGTTTTCCTGTTTAATTTAAAATCCTGGGGCTGGATATCCATCATTCCACTGCTTTTGTGGGTGGAAGTGAGCATGCTTCCAGCACAGGCAAATCAGATCCTCTCCCTTAGTACTGCTGTCTAATTAAATATATACAAATTGCTGTGCTGTGTCATAAGATAGTCTGTCTGCTTTGGGATCGTCTGCCTGACACAGTTTCAGGGGAAGTTGTCATGCAGTACTGATTTTAGGGTAATCCGTACTTTGCAGTTATTGTGAAATGCCTCAGAACTGAGGGTTCAGATCCCTTTTCAAAGCCTCACCCCCCCCCCCCCCCCCCCCTCCAGCTATTCTTTTCCTGCATGTAAATGTCAGGTCCCTCTTGATTCAACTCTGTTTCTTTTGCCTCAGGGCTTCACAGAAATAAAGTACAGAGAGCTGATTAATGCTCATCACTTTTACCTGCGTGTGGTGCAGAAATGGTGGGAAGCTGCAAGAGCAGGAGGACATAGGATTTGTTTGGAGGCTGTGCAGAGAGAGCATAGTTACTGCTTGCTAAAGGGCACTTCCCCATCCCAGCTCCCCTCCAGGGAAGATCAAGAGAAGCTTTGGCTTTGAAGGAATAGGTTTAGGCCTTTGTGGTTGGAGGGCTGGTGTCAGATACAGCCCATCACAGCTGTGCTGGGGGCTGTGGTGTAGTAAGAACCCATCGCGTTTCCATGCTGGAAGGTGAGTGGGGCCTAGCAGAGCAGAGTCAACTTGCCTCTCGATAGACTTAAGGTACATAACCGTGATGTTTTTGACTTCTAGACTGTTCCCCTGACTGGCATTTCAGCAGGCGATTCTGGGATTTTGGCTGGACTTGGGCTTTCCTGCAAGGAGAACGGTGCCTTGTCAGCAGTGCTCCATTGCTTTAGCATTACTTTCCAGGGACTCTGTGCACTGACCTTCTGGCGAAGGGGTGGGGTGGGGGTGATACTGACTTCCGACTGGCTATTTTAGAAACCCATTTTATTGGCAAAAGGCCTCATCCTGTCAACGTCTATTAAAAAGAATAGCCTTAAATAACTGAGAAAGCTCTGACTCTGGAGGGATTGCAAGGACTTTCTTATGGTGATGTGAGAAACAGTTTTGAGGCTTGGATTTACATTCTGTTACAGCACCTCCACTCTGATAGCTGTTACGTTGTGTCTGATGCGGTTGTGGTCTACCGTAGCTAGTTAGCTCCTAAGGAGCTGGGACAGAAGCTGTGTGTATCGTGTGTGTTAGAGGACAGGTTCAGCTCTGTCTCGCAGCTTTGAAGGCACCTGTTACAGAAAGTGGCTTGCTGCCCTGGTGAGCACAAGTGATGGTTTTCCCACGTGCAAGGCTTTGTTTATTTCTTTTTCGTTCAATAGGAGAAGAAGAAGAAAAAGAAACACAAGAGTAAGCAGTCTTCCGAGTCCGACTCTGACAGCTCTGACTCTGACAGTGATGGGGCTCAGCCAGCCAGCAAGAAGGCCAAACATTCAGAGAAAGCCAGCAAGGCTCAGAAGAAGAAGAAAAAGAAGCATAAGAAAAAGCACAAGGAGTGAGCGGGCACTCACAAAGGGGTACTGACATTGTGAATCCCTGGAAAATGCTGCTGGGAGAGCAAAACTGAATCGGTGCGTTCCTTGCTTCAAGTACAAGGAGTTTCCTTCTAAAACTAACGCTCAGCCTGTGGTGTTTGAGATGTTGACTTTGATGCTAGTTATCCACTATCACCTTAGACATGGGCTGCCATTTTCTCCCACCAAGGCCAGTGGGCATGCCTGACAAAATGGGCTAATTAAACCTGTTCATCAGTACCTCTCCCATCCCGTAGCCTCGTGTTTTGCTGGGTAAATTGCCAGTGCTGCGCGTGGCTGCTTTGGACAGTGTCAGCCTGCCATAAGGAGCATGCATGACATCAGCCCCTGGATTCAGTTGCCTGTAAAAGGTGGAGCTCTGCTGCCTGGCCATGCTTGCCCCTACCAATCCCTGCAGAGAGCTCGAGGGGGAGTTGTTGCTGGACCCTGCAGCGAGGCTATGTCTTCCTTACAGCTCTGCATTCACCAGTCATGGCTCTGCAGCTCAGGCTTGCTCCACACGTGGTTTGTTGGATCAGTGTAACTATGCGGTAACTGAATCGCAGCCCAATACTGTCATCTCGGAACAGCTCTGAGAAAGGACAGCTGATATCTGTGCCGTTGCCTGTCTCCTTTCTCAGCATAAGGCAGTATTATAACTACCTTCATGCTGGAGAGACTTCATTCATGGTAACAGCACGGAGCCGATTGGCTTTGGTATAGAAACCCTCCCTCTGTTTCATTCATTTTATCTGAAAACATTTCGAGTGGGAGACTCAAAAGCAACTCAGTGAGTGGAGATATTTTAAATAAACATTGTGTGGTGTATTTGCTGGCTTTGTAAATGATGGAAAATAAATTTCCCAGATCTCCTGTTGAACTTTGTACTGCGTTTTTTCTTCTGTGTGCTCTGCACTTCATCTTGGGTAGTAAAACAAAGGCGTACCTGCATGAGAGGGTATGTGACTTGCATTAGAGATTTTTGAAAGTCTGCTTAGGACAGGGAGGAGAAAACCCTTGTGTCAGAGCCCTGGCTGCTTTCCAGAGGTTTCCAGTGGTGCAGAGTTGGTGAGGTGACCCCTAGAAGAACCCTGCTGGAGCAGAAGGCAAGGCTTATGGTGTGTTTTGGTAACAAGGTGAAGTAGTGACCGAAGTATAAATCTTTTATTTAGACTCAAAGGTCTTTGAGGAAGGAATCACAGAGGGTCAAGCAGTTCTGTGCTGCAGTTCATATCTAGACTAGTCACTCTAGACCTTGGTGACCACAGAGGAAGTCTGAAGGGAGCAATTCATCCTGCCTTGGAGTAGATGTTTAAAAATGGGCTGGCTGAGTCACTTATGTTGCCTCTGTCTCCACTGACTCTAAAAGGAAGCGAGAGTGAGAGTGTTTGCATGCTGGTCACAGCAGTGATCGGCCATTGCTGTAGAAGCAGGCTGGCCCATGTCCTCATACTTCAGTAAAACCAGGCAATTTTCAGTGCTGCTTACCCTAGTATGAGCCTATCATGGCAGGATCAGGGAAATATGCTCTAGAGGACCCTGCTTGAGCAGGGAGGTTGGACTAGATGATCGCCAGAGGTCCCTTCCAACCTAAACGATTCTGTGATTCTGTGATCAGGCTTCTCCTGGGCTGGTCAGGGCAGATTCGAGCCCTAAACTCTACAAGTTCCCCACGGCAGAGTCTTCCTTCGGGCAGGCTCCTTTCCCAACCTGGATGTGATGTGCTCTTGACCTTGGTTTCTTGGCTTCTTTGCTGTCAGGCATAACATCAGATGATGTTTTGGCAGAGCGCGCCTGTCTGGATTTGTGGTGGAAAAATTACTTTTGCTGGAATGGTGTGTGCTTGTATCCTGAGTGATTTATAGCAGAGCTGCCACTATAGTAAGCTTATATTCCCCCCTGAAAAAAAGCAAGCTGAGTGTCCGTCTGTCATTGCTGTGGCTGTGTCCTGCTGAGGTTGATAGGTGGACTAGCAGAAACCCTGACTACACGGAGCTATAGTGGCCCAAATGCCATTTCGTTGATACAATTTGTGGGCTAGAAAACCTGTAGTGACCCAGACTGCTCTTCCAGTAGTGGCACACGTGTGGTTTCGGTCTCTACCTGTTGCTGAGAGGTCTAGTCCTGCCTTTTTCCTGCACCTTGCTGTGTGCTGGCAGGAGCGTTTGTGCAGTCCGTGCGCTTGGCTTACTGTGCCTGCTTCCAGGCTTGGTCTTTGGTGAATCAGGCCCTGGATCATTTGTCAGGTGGGTCAGCCTTTCTGCTATCTCTGTCAACAGAGGTGTGGCAAAGGAAAGGGTACCTGGTTAACCTTGCCTCTCCTTGTACTCTTCTATGACTTGTTGTATTTCCAGAGAACCAGCTGAGACAGGCTGCTGGGTTCACTGGTGTTTTAACCCTCTTGCTGCCTGGGGGCTGCTCTGAGCAGGTCCTGGGTGTGTGCTGCAGCATGTGCAATGGCCCGGGGAGGGCTGGCATCGATCGCCACCTCCTCACCTAAATGTTTGCAAGGCCCTAGTGGGGGCCCTGCGAGAAGGGCCTGTGTGCTGTGATGGAGAAAGGGAGTAGCTTGGGTGGGGGGGGGGCCTCCTGGAGAGAGACACCCGTGAAGCGAGAGCATTAGGTGTGCTAAGCCGGCGGGCAGGGTCGCAGCCTCCCTGGAGCCCCTGTCCTCAGCAGCAGGAGAGCTGTCGGATGGATCCCATCTAGCACCGAGCCAGAAAAGCAGAGACCACTTCCAATCTGTTCAGGAGGGACATGGGAGCGATGTGATGAACTAGCCCAACTCCCACAGCGTTTTCCAGGCTGAAATTTCCCTTCCTCGCTCCTCCTAAAGCCCTGGCTGGGACAGGATCCTCCTCTCCACTGTGCCAAAGAGCCTTTTTTCCAAGTGAGCCAGTCACAGAGCTGTAACAACATTGGTTTTATTTTTTTTTTTCCCACATGGGCTCTTCTGTTATTAAAAAACAACAACCACAACCACAACCACAACCCAAACCCCAACAAGACAACAGGGATCAGGGCAGCAGACGGCTCCAACAGGTTCGGAGGGCTCTGCCATCAACGTGAGGCGCGTACAAACTGCCGCCGAGGAGAGGACAGAGGCAAGTCGGTGATGAGCTCGGCACCGGGTGACAGGCAGGGAGCTGGGGGAACGGCCTCTATGTCGCCTTCTCGTAGGTACGGGTGGAGACGACGCTGCCCAGGGTGAGAGTCTAGAGGCAAAAATCAAAGGCGGGCGGTTGTGCGGGGAGGGAGGAAGCAGCCCTACGGCAGGACGGTCCCAGCACCCTCCTGCGTGCCCCTGCTAGCCGCTGCGCCCCGGGAGGGCTAGCGGTCGCGTGCTTGGGGCTCTAACGCAGCCTTGGAGGACAGCCCTTGAGCTGGCTTAGGCGGAAGCAAGGTCCGCTCTGCCCTTAAAAGCTGGCTCGATGCGAGCGGCAATTTCAGCCAGCGTCGGCCGGGCGGCCCCGTGGGGTACGGCACCGTTATCCCGGTGCCGGCCCCTCGCTGCGCCTGCTGAGCTACGAAGGTTTCTAGCCGCTCACCAGAATTAACTTCCCATCCTTCAGCTCTCGCACTAGCGATGTCTCCTTTCCTTCCCACTTCTGCACGTGGACGAGTTTGCCTCCATCCAGTGTGACCACAGACTGCGGGGAGAGATCAAAACTCGCCGTTAACGCTCGTTTCGGGAGGAGGAAAAGGCTCCAGCCTCAGTTCCTCTGCTTCCAGCTCCCCGGCAGGAGCAGCCCTGGAAATCAGCCCGCCGGTTCGGAGACCTGCTGCGACCGCTCTGGGTGCCCCTTGATCCCAAGTGCCCGCCCCCGGCAGCGACCCCCTCAGCCTCGCCTGCCCCACGCGCCGGACCCCTCTCTGGCTGCCGGCCGGATCAGTGAAAAAAATCTATCTGATTAGGTAGTTAAACAAAAAAGGATGACTTAAGTTATCCTTTCAATTTCAAAAACTCCTGTAAGTTTAGCGCTCCTTTGTCAAACTCCCTTTTACTTTAGTACACCTGTGTTTCATTGAAACCATGCCATTGAAGGCAGTTGTAACCCATGGTGTCTTGGGCATTTTCCAGTGTCACGCTGAGACTTTAAAATGGTTGTGAGATTAGCAGTGATGGATAAGTCCTCTGAGAAATTGTTTTTTATACTCCTCCTTTCTGCTTTCAAAGTCCCACTGGAATTTTACTGTTGGATGTAATGTAATTTGGGGGCTGGCAAATCCCCTGAGTTAGAAGTGCTGCTCCTCCTGTCCTCCGCGGTCCTTCCTCACGGGCCGGATGCCACGGCAGGTTCCCAGCCCCAAGGATGCTATTTCCCCTGGTTGGCCCCAAAGGATTTTGGTCCTCAGCTGCCTCCAGCCCCTGCAGCATCTTTCCCTGCCCTGAACCCTCCCAAGCTCCCAAGGCTGGAGCAAAGCTAGCCCCTACGTGCCCAGGTCCATCTATGGGACGGGGCTTCCTACATCTTGGGTCTCGCTGCACCTCGGGTGCCCTCAGGGCTCTGGTCTCTCCATGGCTTAGGTGCCCCCATGCCTCAGATAACCCCCACAGTTTGGATCTTCCTAAGTCTGATTTCCCCCCGCCCCCATTTCAGATGCCTCCATGGCACAGGTCTCTCCATAACATGGGTTTCCCCATGGCTTGGGTGACCCCTTGGCTTGGTGCCCCCACAGCTCAGGTCACCAGGTAGCTGGGGTGTCCCCCCAGCTTGGGTCTCTCACAGCTCAGATACTCCCACGGTTTGAATCTTCCTAAGGCTCATTTCCCTCTGTCTCAGATGCCTCCATGGCACATGTCTCCCCATAGCTTGGGTTTCCCTGTGGCTTGGGTCTCCCCACAGCTTGGGTGCCCCCTTGGCTTGGGTCTCTGCATGGCTTGGTGCCCCCATGCCTCAGGTATCCTCACAGCTTAGGTGCTCCCATGGCTCAGGTCCCACCATGGCCAGGGACCTCACATGGCTCAGATGCCCTCACAGCTCGAGCCTCCCATGGCTCAGATGCCCCCAAGGTTTGGGTCTTCCTAAGGCTCTTCTGCCCCCTGGCTCCATTGCCTCCACAGCACAGGTCTCCCCCTAACTTGGGTTTACCTATGGCTTAGGTGACCCCACAGCTTAGGTGCCCCCATGGCCGGGCACCCCACATTGCTCAGGTGTCCCCCCAGCTCATATACCCCTGTGGTTTGGGTCTTCCTAAGGCTTGTTCCCCCTCAGCAGCTCAGATGCCCCCTCCCAGCACAGCTCTTCCCCTAATTTGAGCTGCCCCATGGCTCAGGTGCCTCCCACAGCACAACAGACCCTGCTGCCCTGTCCCATGCTGCTCCACAGCCTCCCTGTTCGCCCTGGCCTCCATCCACTCTCCTTCCTCTCCTCTGCCCTCTGGCTGCCTGCCGAGGGGCATCTGAAGGGCATGTCCCTGGCCGGCGAGGAGCCGCTCGCAGCCCTTCACCCGTCCCCACTGCACACGGGATGCCAAGGTGGTTTTAACATATTTTCCACCAGCCCGAGCCGTCTGGTTGTGCTCAAGCCCCGTCACGGGATGGGGCAGCCCCCAGCGTGAGTGTGCTGCTGGCCCGCAGCCATGCGCGGAGCTTGCCCTGCACACTGTGGCCATAGCCTATAGCCAGCCACAGTCATGTATGGAAATAGTTCCCCCTTCGAGAGGGGTAGCAGCAGGGGCCACTCCAGCCAAGCAGGACAGAGGACAGGGAACAGGCTGCCATGTGTCTGCTCAGCACTGCCACCTTGCTCGCACTCACTGCCTGCTTCAGCCCAGCTGCTCTTTGGCCACTGCAGCCGCTCTGATCCTGGCTCTGCTGAAGGCTGGGTGCTCCCACCCGGTGAAAGCACCCAGCCCTTGGGCCATGCCTCCCTGTGAAGCCCCAGGCCAGGTGGGGACAGCCACCCCCTCTTGCCTCCATCTCAGCAGGTCCCTGCACCCTACAACCCTTCTACAGCCAACAGTGTTTTATACTGCCAGCCCAGGCTGTAGGGAGACCTGCTCCACCACAGATCTGACCAGCCCCGAGGTGGCCAGTGAGTTCATTTTGCAACACAACAACCTTGTCTGCATCGGGCTGGGGGGACGGCGCCTGCTTCACGCAGAGCATGTTTAATGGAGCGTGGCACCCTGCGGCCACGCGGGGCCAGGAGGGGAAAGTTCTCTGCAAAAAATGTCTTTGCTAGGAAAAGGCCGGCGGGGGGAGGATCGGTCTTGGGAGGGGAAGTGTCTCTGCAGAGGGAAGAGGCCAAAAAAAAAAAAAAGGAGGTTTAATGCCTTTCTTGATCTTTCATCCTGCAAACTCATTTCCCCTCCCATGAGCTCAAACTGCCCTCTCAAGCTTTCTTCCCTTGCTTTTATGGGAGGGATAGCCCAACTTGGCTCTTTGCCACCAGCAAATAACCAAGGAAGAGGAGGACTTGGAGAGCCACCGCACAGAAGCTCAAGTCTTTCCTGAAGAGGTTTTCTCCCCCCGAACCTCTTCCCTGAATTAAAGGGGAATTGGCCAAGTGATGTGTCCAAGCCGTTCCATCCCTCTTCGCTCACCATGTACAGAGAGGACAGCTCTGCCCAGCCAAAGGGGCCCAAAATGTGTTTCTAGGACAAGCACCAGGCTCAAAAGCAATTCTTGCATCCCTGCAAGGATGCCTTGGAAACCATTAAAAATGGCACAAAGTTCACCTTCGCTCCACCACATCCCCTGTTTCTCTTGAGCAAGTCCGTCGTGGGCCAGGCAGTGGGCGGTTGCATGTTTTCGCTCTTGCACAACCTACCCAGCAGCTCTGTGCCCGGGCGGCCCAACTTCCCGGGCTGGTAGAGCCCCGGGGCTGTTACAGTAACTCCAGTGCCTCGTAACAGCTTTTCTGCAAAGCCTGGCTGCAAATCGGCATGGGGGAAGGGGTGATTTGCCAAGAGAGGCTAGGGCAGAGCAGCAGGCCCTGAGGGCAAGGAGATTTTAACAGAAGAGGATGGAGAGAAGGAGACAGACCCAGAACTCAAGGATTCAAGCCTTGAACTGCAGGAATGTGGCCATGGCCTGATAAAAGGGTTTGGCAGAGGGCAGATGCTCTCTGAGGGACCCCAGAGAGCTTCTCCAAGCACCAATGTTCAGCACCCCAGCTGCCCCCTGGGTCTCTGCTGGGCTCCTGGCCCCATGGCTGGGCTCACCTTGACGTGCCTGTCATCAGCAGTGGTCTCATCAAACTCCTCGCCCAGCTTGAAGCTGATCTCTGTGTTTTTGAAGGTGCTCTGGGTCTTCAGGGTGATCTTGTCGCCGCTCACTTCGATGATGGTGGTGGGTTTGGTGAGGCCCGCCACCTGCCTCGTGGCAAAGCCCACACCTGCAGGGTGCAAGGGAGCGGTGAGGCCACGCGGAGGGGCTAGAGAGGGTGCATCCCCATCATCGTCCCTGCCCTTCAGCAGCCCCCAGACCTTCCTTCCTCCCTGCAGCCTCCCCGTGTCTTGCTGGCTGCCGTGGGGGCTGGAGGGCAGCTGGATGTGCAGCTGGGATCACTCAGGGCCAGATCCTGCACCCAGAAACACCATTCTCCAGCCACAGACCAGCTTTTGGGGCTGAGCAGGATCCAAGACAGGTAGTATCCCCTGGCCTCTGTAGTACCCTGGGGCCACTCAGAAGGAGCCACAGCCGGTGCCAGGGACCAGGCTGGATGATGTGGGGTGAGAAGGAGGGATGAAGGATGGAGGAGAGCAGAGGCACTGCATTCACTCACTCTGCAGTGAGCAGCTCTGCAGTCCTCTCCCTCCACCCTATCATCCTTGGCCCTGAAATGGGGGGGGGGGAAGGCTGTCCCCACCCACTGGCTTCTGGGAAGAGCTGGAGATGCATGTCCCTCCCGAGGGCAGGGAGCCAGGCAGTGGGCACACTCCTTCCCGGGAAAGGCAGCCACCTCCTGCCCCTCGCCTGCTTTCCCAGGACCAGGGACCTCACCCGGCTTCAAACAAGTGCCCGGCAGCGAGGATCATCCTCATCACCAGAGATGGCCGAGATTCCCTCCCACCCTGTCCCCACCCGTGTTGCCCCCTGGCAAAAGCCGAGCCCCGTTTCCCG